TTTTTTTTTGTATGTCCTGCCTAATGAATTTAATATTGTGTTTACCGAATTTTGTTGTATGCCCTTAAAGAGTACTGAAATTTGTTTAGTATTCAGTTGAGCTATTTGGAACCTAGTCGATCCTTTCACAGATTTCTTTGAGGTTTTCTTAGAGATGATTCAAAGTAGTTTTTAGTTTGGGGCTCTCTTAGCCCATTACTAAGGGAATACCCTTCTTTGACTCTAAATAGTCTATGAGTATATTATGAGACTTCTCCATTGTGACCAGTGGCATTGTAAAATGTTTTCAGCTCTTCGTGAGTATGGGAAATTATTATTTATCTTGATTTCTGGAGTTTTTTCTTCTGGTCTTAGTCTTATTCTGTATGTATTCCTATACTGTGTGGAAGACTAGAAAGACCCTCGATGTGTATCAATAACCCTTTCTCCCTCTGTCTAGCTCCCTGTCCTTTTGTACTAAGTCCTACAATTTCTAGCCAGTTAAGTTCCACCAGCATCCATATTCTGTGCTCTTTATGGAAGTTTTAGTTCTCTTTTCCTGCTCTAAGATCTGATAATTATGGAGCAATCCTGGGGCTCATCTAGTTTGTTTCCCTCTTTTGAAAGATCACAGCCCTCCACTTCCTGGGGAAACATCTGAAAATTGTTGTTATATATATATGAGTATATTCAAAGTTTTTCTTGTAAGTTTTAAAGTTGTTTAGTTTCTTGTAATGGGAGAATAAGTTCCCTAGCAGATAAATCTTTATAGGCAGAATTAGGGACTGATTTGAATTCACAAACTCAGAAATGGAGTCTATTTTTTATTTAAGCCAACATTTCTCAAAGTGTAAGCCATGCAACATCTCAATCCAATTAGACTGATTGTAAGTATATATTTCTGGATGCACACATAAGCTAAAGCTACTAAATCAGAATGTCTGGGAGGTTGTGCCAGGGTATGATTTTTTAAAAGAAAAAATCCAAATGATTATGGTAAGAAAATGTATACAGCTGGTATAAGGGCATTAAAAATTAATCATTTTATCTACTATCATATTTACTTTGAACTGTATATGTATATGTGTTTAGACAAATGCTTATTGTCTGTAATTATTTCAACTGAAGTACGCTTTTTAGTCATCAGCAATGAAGTCCACAAAATGAAGGTTATGAAATTATAGCTTATGCTTTTGAAAAGACATTGATATCAAATGAAAGTTTCTTTTACAGTCGAGTAAATTCCCCTCCCCAAATGAACTGCACTTGCATATTGAGTTATTCAGTATCAATCTCCTAATGCCCACTAAGACTCACTAGATTTTAAGTTCCAAGACATTAAGGATCCATTCTGTTTGTTCAGTCTTTTTATAGATTTTATAGATGTTTGTGGGTTGTGGATGGAACATATAGACCTCCAGAAAATATCTTTTGAACAAATATAAGTAATAGGCACAGATTTGATAATTATTTTTAAAAAATATATTGAATTTTTCTTTTTTTTGAGCTTTTATATTTGCATTTATTCTTCATTTAAACTTTAAAACACTACTATA